ATATATATATATATATATATATAGAGAGAGAGAGAGAGAGAGAGAGAGAGAGAGAAACTTGTGAATCGTTTTGCAAAAAAAAATTAATGGATGAGGCATATTGACAATTTTATAGGATTGTTATTCTTATTCTTCAATTTTGAATAATTTTGGACGCATGTTCTATTTCTTATGGTATATGCTTGTGCAGATGAACTATGAAGATTTCTGTCATATTGCATCGGTTTGTGCTGAACAAATTGGTTCAAAATGTCGGCGGTTCTTTAGCCCCTCAAATTTTATGAAGTTTGAGAAAGATGAATCTGGAAGGATAGCTATACTTCCGTTTTATCTCTATGTCATGAGAACGGTAAGCTATACTTTTTAACGATAATGTTACTGGATTGCTTTCCTTAAAGTTCTTTTTTTTTTTTTGGTTTTTTTTTTCTCAATTACATGACAGTATATATTTATTCCTTAAATACGATGTTGAATGGCCTAAGATCTTGCTAAGCAAATGAGACTGCTCGTTTTTTATTGCAATATATGCATCCCAGTTCATTCTTCTTTGCATTTTCATATTTATCATCCTTAACATAATTTTGGTTAGTTGTTTCATTGTATGCTCATTTAGTCTGCATGAGTATTGTATATAGTTTTCCTTTTGCATTGTGATTTTCTGCAGCTTTTTAATTCCAATACATATTCATAGGAAAGTGATGTGAGGATTCCATTTAGTTTCTTTTTAAAATTGTAATTCAATTCAGGGTTATCAAATAAATGGCATATTGCTATTGATCAATGGTAAAGTGAGTAAGATCCACTTCATAAGGATCAACTTAACTGTGAATTTGTAATTGTAAATAATAAAACAAAGTGTAAACTAAGTGATTTGAAATTTTTTATACCAAGCTGCCATTGATAATATTATCTACTTGAATAATCATGTAAATATTAAGTCTTTAGAGAGGGTTAATATTTTACTTGGTAGAATGTACAACTCACTTTTAAGGGGACTCGCAAGTGGTGTAAGGATATGTTAGTTGGGTATATGGCTTCACGAACGTAGAGTCAACTAATTAAATCATATGCATTACTTTTCATTGTTTTGCAAAATGAACAGACTAATTTACAACTTGTAAATGGAAGGAAAGTTAAACATATGGATGGAATCACTCAATTGAAGTGAAATATCACGAAGGCTATCAGCCACCTCTAGGCTCCATAACTATCTCCACATCCCAAGGACTTTGAACCATGTGCCTTAGGATGTGGTGGATGGTTATGGAGCTGATGTGGAGATAGGGGGATGGCTGATTAGGGTCGTTAGGGCTAGTGAAGGGATGAAGAGGAGGGCTTAGGTTTAAGAGGGAGAGGTTGGCCGAAAGCTCTGCATAGGAAGGAGAACCTTGGGAATGGTGGTAGTGAAGAAGAAATACGGTTTGGTGAAGGAATTGGAGGTTGCCAATACTTTTAATGATTTTGGGTTTCAATATGAGAGGCTTAGGGAGGTGAAGAGCTTGTTAATATATATTTGGGATTTGGTGGATCAACATGAAGTTGGAATGGCTGATTAGGGTTGTGAGGACTAGTGAAGGGATGAAGATGAGGGCTGGGGTTTAAGCGGGAGAGGGTGCTCAAAAGCTCTTCCTAGTGGGGAGAACATTTACATGGAAGGTCGGGGGCTTAGAATTGGGTTGTGGGGAGAGTGGAGGGGTGTGAAGGAGATGAAAAGCTAAAATTTACAAATTCAAAGAAGAATTGCTCAAGGAATTTCCAAATTTACTCAATCTAGCAATATTGTTTCCCATTATATTTCAAAATACATAAATATATTCTTTCCCTCTTTTTGCAATGAAAATTCAAAACATTCCATATTGGTTAGCTGGCAGATAGAGTTGATTTTGTAACATAGGTGAGGTGCTGGACTGAATCCTAAGACTATGGAAGGTGTTTGAACATGGCTTCTTGGAGAGTAGAGGGGTGTGATGGAGATAAAAAGCAAAACAATTACTAAAGCTAAGAAGAATTGCTTAAGCAATTTTCAAATTTATTCAAACCAGCAATAATCGATCCCATCATTTGTCAAAATACATAAATATATCCTTCCCCACTGTTTGCAATCAAAATTCAAAACATTCCATATTGGTTAGCTGGCAGATAGAGTTGATTTTTTAACTTAGGTGAGGTGCTTGGCTGAATCCTAACAGTATGAGAGGTGCTTGAATATGGCTCCTTGGAAGGTGGGGCATGTCTTGTAACTCCAACACGACTCCTTGAATTGGGGAAGTTTTGGTTGAGTAATTTGTTAAATAAATGTCCAGTGAACAATAGAATAAAAACTTAAATTGTGTAAACACTCAGTTACAACAAAACAACGAGCCTTTATCCCACTACGTGGCTACATGAATCACTTTTCTCCATTGTGTTCTATTGAGTGTCATATTTTCATTTAATTCTAATAGATTACTATCATCTTATATACAATATGCCCAAGTCTTTTTAGCTCTACCTCTGCCTTTTTAATATTAGTTGAATCTAAAACATCTAGTCTTCTAACCGGATCATCAGATGATCGATGTTTAATGTGTTTAATGTGATCAAACATAATGTGATCAAACAATCTAAGACGACTCTCTTTAATCTTGTCTGCCACTGAAGCTACACTGACCCTATCACAGATATTTTCATTTCACATTTGTCTCTAAGTGTCAAGCCAATTATTCACCTAAGTATTCTCATGTCAACAACACTTAATTTTGTTTTATGCTTCTCTTTTAAAGGCCAACATTTTGCACCATATAGCATTGCAGGTCTCACCACAATCTCATTAAATTTTTCTTTTAAGTCTAAGCGGTATTTCTCTATCACACAATAGGCCCAAGGTTTTCTTGCACTTCAACCAACCAACCTGAATTCTACTAATAACATCCCCATCTATATCACCATTACTTTGAACAATAAACTCGAGATATCTAAAACGTTCACACCTTTTAATGATTTGATCACCCATGGTTACAACCGTGCCACTAGAGCTACTACTACTAAAACTAAATTCCATGTATTCGCTTTTAGATCTTCTCCAACGAAGGCCTTTAGAATCCGATGCGGACCTCAATAATTCAAGTTATTCCTGAATTCTTTTTCTAATCTTATCCACTAGAAGGGTATCGTCGGCGAAAAACATACACTTAGGTACATCCTCCAATAAATGTCCTGTAAGAGCATCCATAACTAAAGAAAAAAAACATACGGGCTTAAAGCTGATCCTTTATGTAATCCACTTGAAATAGGACAATCCCCCTTCTGTTCGAACACAAGTAACAACTCTAGTTTACATATCTTTAATGACTTGAATAAAAGTCATAACAACACCTTGTTCTCTTAAACTCTCCAAAGGACTTCTCTTGGGACCTTACCCTATGCTTTGTTTAAATCAATAAAAAACATTTGTAGATCCTTCTGGCTCTTTTTGTACTTCTACATCAAACCTCTCAATAAATGTATAACTTTCATAGTAGACCTGCCCGACATAAATCCAAACTGATTATGAGAAATCTTCGTGTCACATCTTAACATTTGTTCAGTTACTCTCTCCCATAATTTTAAAGTATGATACATCAACTTAGTTCCTTGATAATTTGCACACTCTTGTCCTTCCCCTTTATTCTTAAAAATGAGGACCAATATACTCTTCTCCCACTCCTCAAACATCTATTTAATTTTTAAAATAATATTAAAGAGTTTAGTAAGCGAAGAAACACCTAAAGCTTTTATATATTTCCACACTTCAATTGGGGTATCTTCAAGTTTTACTGATTTTCTACCCTTATCTTTAATTAAAGCTTCCTCAACTTTTTTTTAATAATGCGATAGTAAAACTAATTATTATTATTATTATTATTAAACATATTAAGATCACTAAGATTGATCATATTTTCCGAAATTTTATTGAAAATTTATCAAAATAACTCACTCCCCTATGTTGAATATCTTCCTCTAAAAAAAAGCTTTTCAATTTTCATCTTTAATACACATTATTTGATTTAAATCTTTACTTTTCTTTTCTCTTTGTTTAGTTAGTTTATACATATATTTTTCACCCGATTTAGTATCCTAATTTCTTATAGATCTCTAAAAGTAGAATTTTGAGTGCCACAAATTGTTCTTTTTCACTCCTTACGAACCACCTTATAATTTCTCAGTTCTCTAAGCTTTTACATTTAAATTAATTTTTATAACAATTTATTATATTTTAGCTTTGCTTGCATATAATTCTTCCACCATCATTTATTTTTATTTATAATTTTTTTTTCTTTTGAGTCACCAAATGCATTATTTGCCACTTGTTTAATAGTGCTATTTACTTTATCTCACTTAGAGCTAGCATCTTTACGAACATTTCATATCTTGAAATCTTGAAATTTACTCATAAAAATAATTTTATTTGTCTTTTAGGTGCCCCCATCTAATTTTATAATAAAATTTTATTGTATTCTTTATTTTACAATTCGTCTTAATATTCAAAACTAATAATCGATGCTGAGTATTTAAATTTTCATTTTGAATGACCATATAATCTTTACATTCTTGACGATCTCTTTTTTTCATAAGAAAGTAATCAATTCTTATGAGTAATAATACGCTCATCTCATTTCTTAAATAAAGTATTAACAATAACAAAATCATACGTTAAAACAAAATTTAATGTAGTTATATTTTTTTCTTTAATCACTCCAAAACCTTAGCTATCATAAATATTTCTAAAATCTTCTACCACTATCAACATGCCTATTTAAATATCATTCAATAAAAATTCTTTGTTTAAGGGATATCATTTGTGTTAAATCTTCTAGGTCATTCGAGAATTTTTCTTTTAACTCTATATCTAAATCTATCTGAGGAGCATAAACACTTATAACATTAAAAATCTTGGAGGTCATTTGGTTGAGTGAATTTGTACAGTAAATCTTTTGTAGAGATTTGGGAAAATTCTGTGTTTGGTATGAAAATTTACAAATACAATGTAAAGTTTTAATGAATTTGAAGTTTACACCATAGTTCATTTTAACTGAATTTTGAATTTAACTGATTTGCCTGAATTTGAATTACATCAATCATGTAAAACGCTATAGGCTCGTCGCCACCCCTCGCTCACCTTCTTCTCCCGTCGCCCGCCTGGCCCCACCCCCCCTGGCCACCTCTGCTCCCCACAGCTAGCCGCGTAACCCCATTCCGCACTCGTCACCACCCACCTACCAACCGCCCGCCTTAGCTGCTCGTCGCCGTCGTCATTGCCCGTTGCATGCCACCTTTCGCCGTTGCATCACTCCGCCGCTTGCTGCCCGTGGTCTGCCACCAATAACCCGA